CACTTACGGTTTAAATCAGCTCATCTTCCGACACGCAAACATTTACACAGGTTTTCATGCGCCTACTCACATCCTGAGGCCACCAGACTGACAACAATGGAGGTGGAGGTGGATGAACTCTGAACGAGGACGGTGACCAGGATCCCCACCACCAGTCCTGCCACTGGGTTGGACAGCACAACATTGTCCTGGAAAATGTCCCCTGCCACTTTACCTGGTCCAATATCCCACCCACACACACAGAGGGAAAAATACAAACATAGACAAAACACAAAATTGATTACTCTGAGGAATGACAACATTCACACTGCTTATTTCCTCTCCTTCAAGAGATGATGGCTTGGCAGTATGATACAGTGGGACGGTGAATTGTCCCTCACTGAGTCACTCTTTTGTCACACATCAGCTCGGTGAGTCAAAGTCAGCCTGCAGTGAGGGTTATACTTACCTCCTGCTAACTGGAAGGCAGAGCTCAGCGTGTCCAACGAGCAAATGAAGAGAAAGAGGAGGATGAAAAGGAGAGGGATCTTCGATAGATTGATAAGACGCTGCTTGATCTGGCCTGGACTCACAGCTGTGGTGTGCAGAGAGTTTTCTGTTGGAAACAAAGACCAAGGGAAAGGTTTAGTCTTGCATCACGGCATAAATAGCTTAAGACTGACCTATTTTCCCCATAAGAAAAAGCAGAAAACAGCAAGTTTCAAGCTAGCATGTCTCCTTTTCTTGTGAAATCTGGCTTCTGAATATAAAAAATGTCGTACTTGTATGAGAACAAAGCTTTCACATGTACAACATGCACAGGGAAGCACCTGCTGAGTTACTGGGGAGCCAGAAAGTCCCATTGGCATTTTGCCTCTTTCTTGTGCATGTTTCTTATCTACAAGAATCCGCCTTTCTAAGGAAATCAAGCCAGCTGCCTCACCAAGAGATGAAAGTGTTCATCTCCTCTTGATCCCTATACCTTTTTTTGTGTGTACACTGCCTGTATTTATTGACAGTACAGTCGGGAGACGATTGGGACATTCATTGTAGCACTCAGAGCTGCCAGTGAGGTCAAGAGTGGATCCGATGCCAGACTCCCTGTCCTCCTCCAGTGAGAGTTTGGGCTGGGAGGAAATCTGAACCACATGCATCTTCCAGCCTGAGAGAACACAGGGTTCATATTTAGGTTCCTAGTGGTGACATTAAAGCTTTTCAAAATACCTACCAATCAGAATCACATACACAAACACTATGAACATGGATGTTGTCTTGAATGTAGAGCTTTTCTTTTTTTATTAGAACCATTCCTTTTTTCTCTGAAGGAAAGTAAACAAATTGCATTTCAAGTGATTTTTGAGAACAATAATTGGGTACATAGATTTTAATTTATACCATTGTCTTTTCCCTTTCAATCCAGACATGGTCAAAATTAAACATACAGAAAGTAATTTGTATCTTGATGACACTTTTTGCAGTCATAAAAATAAATCTGATAAATAACTAAAGCCAAAAAATTCCTTCCACCACGAAAGTGTATTATGGCCTTCTTGTCCATGACGAGTGCATGTAAAACTGTAAAAGGCTGAATGTTTCCACAGTAAGTGAGACCTGTGTCCCGTCCACAGGGCTCTGCAGCTGAGGAGGGAGAAAACATGTGGCACTCTGAGCCTGTGTAAAGATGCTCAAGTAATTAAAGTCACAGGATGGCACCAGTGTAGAGGAAACAGATGAGAGCGAATGTGTTTGTCAGCCACCTGCAGCAGTAAAAAGAAATCAGTGGAGACCAGCATTCCTTGTATATGAGCCCATCTCTCACAGAGGCGCTGAGACCGGCAGCAGACAAGCAATTACAAAAGAACAAAAGCCTCCCACATTGTTTCTAAGTGGCACCTTTTCTTGATTTGAGGTCAGATTGAATGCCACACCTCCTGGCAAACGAAAGCGTTTTCAGAATCAGTGAGAAAACATTGGTATCAGTGTAACTTCTCCCCTATTTCTACTTTCTCAAAGGCACCCTTCACCTCTCAAAGAGCTACGACTGCCTTTAAAGAATTTCCTATTTTAAGCATAGAGTGCCTCCTTTTCCCTTTCTGCACATCAGCTGTATTTTAGAGCCTTCAAGGCAGAAAAAGAAAAAAAAAAACGTGTCCCTTAAAAGCAGAGGATGGAAGTAATCACAGCAGGCAAAATCACAGTAATTACAGTCACTGCATCATTAGCATTGTATGCGACATCTTCCAGCAGTTCTTAATGGGTGGAGAGGCCTTGTTAGCATCTGTACATGTTTATCAATATGTGGGAGAGGGTGAAGCTGCTCAGTCTCTGGTCATATTTAGTGTTGGTAAATGCACACTGAATGCTATCTGAGTGTTGCTGGTTGTCTGGCCGATCAATCTTTTTCATCTGTTGGCAAGTTTTTCTTTTCAATCTGGTCAGAGAAAAGCAATGAAATTTCAAAAGTCTTCCTGCAGCAGGAATGCTACAGATTTGGTTGTTGAAAGACACATAATCAAGTTTTAGGTCCATGCGAGTATTGCTATAAAACTTATCAATGTATGTCTGATCTGAACTGATGGGACATGAGTTGTAAAACTTTCAAGATAAGCCAGCAACACAAAGCATTGTACGAACACTGTATCACTACTTTGCCTCTTCTGGACCTTGGACAACCACATATCTTGCTGTGAACCAGAAAGTCCTGAAGAAGAATGTCTGGTCATCACTCACTGACCCCGAGTTCAAGCACACTTGGATTATTCTGCAAGACAATGATTAAAAGCACCCCTGCAAAATCACCTTTGAATGGTTTCAAAAAGGAACTAGTTGTCATGTCTAACTCTTAACTAAAATTCAAAGATGTTGTGTCATTGCCTTAAATAGGCCATCAATGCATGCTCCAATGGGCCTTAATTCCTCCTTGATGATAAAGAACTTATTGCTAATTATTCCAAATGTTTGATGGCACAATAAGTTATTATTTACAACTTCAATTAAATTTTGACGTAGGCCCAGATTGGTTTTGAGTAAATGTTTCCCTTAGTGAGTGAAATCATTTGAAAACCTCATTTGCTTTTGCATTAAAATCTGCACATTTAAGTGCAACCAAAACAGCAATAAACAAGGAAACCTTTTCTTTCACACTGCTCCAGATGGGAAAAAAATATAGGTAAATCAAACTTGACACAAAGATCATATTCATTGATATTGTTAAGTGCAGCTTCTTACCTGGTGTCAAACAGCTTCTGTGTGAGACCTGCAATGCAAAGCGTCAAGCTGGGGAGTAAATCAACTTTAAATACGCTCTCAGACCTGAAAGTGTTGAGAGGGGCACCTGTTCCTTTGGTGATTAACTTGAGACAACACTGTTAATCAATAGCACAAAGAGATAAGTTAATGAGGCATTAGTTAAAAGGGTATGTACTCCACTCGGTAATGATTGATGCTCTCTCAGACGGTCTAATTGTCACTTGATTTGGTGCCAGATAAGTGGATTTAAAGATGAAGCTTCCAGTTTGATTTGATCCAACATGAGAACGCTGAGAGAAATCTGACACCTAGTGGTGAATCTGGAGGAATGCCGCTGACTGTTTTGGTCCACATGTTCTCACGCAGCCGTTTTCATCCTGCTGTGGAACATAGCAAAGACTGGAGACGGTGTATTAGCTGACCACTTCTTTTTCAAGATAAGCCAGTGAAAGTAATTCAAATTTTTGGAGAGTAATCTGCTTTCAGCTGGTACAGGTACTCCCCTCAACCTCGGGCGCTCAAGTTTAAGTATGTTTTGATTGGACAAGAGCTATCAGGGGAATTTTTTGGCAGCCTCACACACAGAAGTGCACATTTACCTTTCCACTCCACTGCTCACGGATGGTGTTCTTCTCAGAAACAGAGTTAGCCTGTGTAACAGGGTGATATAATTATTAATAATTAGTTCAGTTTGAGTTTTTCCCTGTCAGCAGCTCTCCTAACCAGATCTGGCAAACCTGCTGACCTCATGCCTGCATCCACAAACCCAGTGGAGCACAAGTCAATAACACCCTCAGCAACACATTTGCTTGCCAAATGATGATGAGAGCAGGAAAAAAAGGGAAGGAGACGTAGAGGCAAGCTCTGCTGTTGGTGTTTTTTCAGCTATTTGTAAAATGGCTGAATCAGGTAAAATTCTTCAGATTTGGTAACACTGCAGGCAGAGAAAGAGTGAAACATGGATATTCACTCACATGCAGTCACTTCTAAACCCACATAAAGCTGTGGAACATCTCTGAGGCCTTTTTGGTTAGAAAGCCGTCCAAACAGCAGCTAATCCCCTCTCCAAATGCAGAAGTCGTTGAGAGGATGCTGCCACCTGTCAACCTGGAGATAAACAAACCGAAGTGACAGTGTCTTCATCCTGCCATTCTGCACACACCTGCCGGTCAGCCATCAGTCCTGCTCGGCTCTTCTTCACCTGTGGTCTAAGCTCACTCTGAGGAAGGCCAGGTAAGGCTTTAACAAAGCACATGTCTCCTTTTTGTGTCTGCAGAGGAGTGATTTTGCTGTGTGGGATACTTTACGGAATCCCACCCAGCAATGAATTATTAGGTTTGGCTAATAATTCATTGTGAATTGAGGAAGCCCACCAGCTCTTTCCCCATGATTCCGGCCCAAAGAATGACTCCACCACCTCCTTGCTGACATCACAGCCAGGTTGACACAGCAGTCATCAGTGAACAAATCTGAAAGTTCAGCTTTGGACTCACCTGTTCAGAATCCCTCCTTCCGTGTTTTTCTTGTCCCATGTATAGTCTTCCCTTCATCTTATTTGCAGATTTTCCAGCTGATCAAAGACCACTTTTATTTACACAAAAAAGTTCACTGTTCTTGCCCAGCCCCCATAATACTGCACCACGAGTTTTATCATATCAAGTCTGAAAAAGCGGCTTTAAAATAAAAGGTTGAGTCCCTAAATCATTAAATTCAAATGTATTTGTACCCTGGAAGACTTAGTTGTTGCAGTGAATAAAAACAGAAAAAAAGCATTTGTCCAACATCACTTCACTTTAATTACAGTTATATCAGTCACAGCACAATGACACAACTTCATCAGATTTGGACTTTAGTTAAGGTTGATTCAGCATGAAATTCACAGCTTGAGTAGATTCTAGTCATCTATGATCAGAATTGTTTGGCATTTTCTTTGTTGACATATGTACATTTTATATGTGTAACTTTAACTTGTATATGGCTCGATGTCGATGCCATTTTTCACTTCAACTCTTCTGTGGAGGACGAAGGCGTGTCAGAGCCATCGAGACACTCCTGCAAAACCAACTGAGAATTAATGCCTTTTCAGAATAGATGTTAATTACCATAGCAGTGGTAATTAAGCCACAAGAATGGTAGAAAAGAGCAAGAGAACAATTGCCAAACAGGAAAACAAAACCTACCTTCACTTTTTCCAGATCAGGCCTGCCTGGCAGTGACTTTTGTGAGGAAAATGCCTGTTCAAGAAGATAAAAAACTGAGATCAGCTCTAAGCAGGGACTAAACGTCAATGCGTCCATCTGCTGCTCACCTTCCTGGACTGTTGCATCTCCTCTGTGGATTTAGACCTGTTCTTCATGTGCTTCTGAGGAGAGGTAGAGGTGGGACACTGTAGAGAGGAAGGATCTGGTTAAGACCAGGTCTGAATAGCAAAATGCTGTAGGAGTAAAATGTTTTTTTACACACCTCATTTGTCTTCTGCTCCATGGCTGAGTGGAGATTTTTCCAGTTCAGTGCTAAAGACTGACCTTGTGCTTTTGAAAATTCTTGGACAACAGTAAAGCTGGAAAAAAAAAAGACAAAAACATTTCTATTCATTTCATTTTATTTGCTTAATTGAATGTAAGAAGTGATTAAATGCTCAATCAAATGATCTATAAGCAAGGTGCTGAGTGTGTAGTTGCAGGTTCTTGCCACTAGATGGTCTTTCTGACTTAGTTTTTCATTGTCGCACTCATTTTAATCACTGAAGCAGTACCAAATGAATTGTTTTCTTATGCTCAGTCACAATGGGAAGCAAACAGTTTTTGCCTATATTCTTAATCTTATTTCAGTTTTGTAAGTGAAATGAAGGAACACTTTTTCATTCATTGAAGTATGTTTTCAATTTAAAAAGACATGCTGTATTATTCCAAGTCCCCCGATGTTTTTTGACTGATGCTTGTTGGTTATCGCATGTGAAAAGTGTAAACAGCAGCGCTTGAAAACACAAATCAAAATTTAAGGTCAAACACAAATGCTGCTTTTGGGTTTGCATGGCACAATCACCATCCTGACTACAGCAAATAATTAAATTCATACATTTTATATATTAATCCAGCCTTTTTCAGACAGTGAATTCAGCCCTGACTTTAACATTCTGTAGAGGAACAGTAGACAACATGCAGATGCTGCACGTCCTCTTGATGTTTTTTAAATGGAGGTTTGAGGAGATGATCTCCTCTTTCAGCTTGTAGAAACTTTTCACAAAGCTCCGTCACCACATTGAACAACGTTCCCTCCCTTCTCACTGGAAAAACTCGTCTCCAGCATGTCTGAACACATACTTTTTTTAAGTAATCATCAAAAGCCTTTGGGTGGCGTGCTAGCTAGGACCTTTTTCTGACACTTTTATTACCGCTTTGGCTGTTTGATCACTTTGTTACGAGCCTGTTTGAGTTTAAATGTTTTCAATAAATTGCCCGATATGTTCCCTTTGCCTCTTGCTCCTCTTTCTTCTACTTTTTAAAAATTATTTCATCAACCAACATAAGATACAAAGAACTAAACATTCAGGCCTCGTGTTGTTTTCTCAGTGAATATGTTGCTGCTCATTGCTTTTGCCCAGAGGCAAAACAATGAGCAGCAACACATGAGAAACAGATGACAGAAGACCAGGTGGAGCAGGACCTGTAAGTCCATGGTACCAAGGCAATGGAACGAGTAGATACTGTTTCAGTGCCTACTTTTATTACAGCAATTATATATGAATTGGCTTTAAAAAAAATTCTCAGGGGTTTTAACAATTGTAATAAGTTTCTGTAATAATTCACAGACAGCTTAAAACTTAATTTTAATGGATTTGTGTCATAAAAGTGAAAAATCCTTTCACTTTTATTTTTTATTGACTTTTGACTTCATGACAACCTTATTTGATACGTTTAGACATTACTACTATGTTTTTCTGTGAGCTCATGAATGCTAACAGCTGGATTTTTGAACTGTTGAGCAGATGAAATGTTCAGCACAAAAACAAGCTGAACAGTGGCTGTAGCAAGTTAAAGGCAGAATACTAAGCACAGTAATTTGTTTCAAAGTTACAGAGGAGAGACTGTAATGAATGGATTAATCACACATTCAACTTTCCAATTGTATCTGTAAAAGAAAGTTTCAAATAATGCTCACATTTAGTTTAATTACCTCATTAAGAACCTTGCAGCAATCATTATGCAAGACATTATGCAAATAGGGAGCAGAAATTCTTGAGATGCAGATTAGAATGATTTTATTTGCTTTGGAGATATTTGAAAGGAGGACAGGTTTTCTAAAGGGGGGGGGAAAGAACATTCACTCATGCACACCAATGCAACACAAACAATGAGTCCTAGAAAAGCCGAAGTCTCCAGTGAATATAAAGCAACAGTCACAGCCAGAGGCGCAGCTGGCGTCAGGAGCCCTGCTGCCAAGGGACTAAACACCTGGGGGTTTAGGTCACGGTGTGAGAGAAAGCTTCTTTATATATAAAAAAAAAACAACAAAATAACAGACCGACAGTTTCTGTTCTCTCTGTCAGTTCTCGCATCGTCCATCGAAGATGCATGAAATATTATTGGCAGGTCTGAGTTCACATTTGAAGATGTGGTTTATTGCAGCATATAGATCTGTATTACAGATTAAAAAAAACAACAAAAAAAACTCTCAAAGTTAAAAAAAAAACGATCTGCCAGTAATTCTGTATGTCTACAGCTTTTCATTATAACTTAAGACCAATATTGGCAGATGAAGAACAGCTTCTAAACTCAGCTTCTCTGCAAAGCTGCTTTAGTGAAAAAAAAAGCAAACACTTTAGCATTCCAAAAAAGTACAAATAATGCCTTTTTCATCAAAGAAAACTATTGTGTTTTATGAGAAATTAGCACAATTTGTGCTCACATTTAGACCATTTCAATCTGTCATTTATTAGGTGCATAAAGTTTTACAGAATAGATGCATCTCTTTAAGTGAGACCTCATAAGAACATTATCGGAACAAAAGGAAAGGATTTGATTAAAACCCAACTATCACCCTGCTGTTCTGTTCAGGAGCTTATAAAAAATAAATGGCAACTGATCGACAGGAGTTCCTTCACCCACTGTGACGCCTGACGTCAGTGGTCACAGCCGGTTAACATTCGATGCTGCAGGGAACTCCGACACAAAGGCATTCTTGAAGGACTGGTCCTGCCTGCTACCTAAAACATGCCAACACAAGTGACTCAGTGGAGTGCTCTGACTCTTTTTTTTTTTTTTCATACAGGCTTCAGTTAGCACAGCCAGGGGTAAGAAACCAGCAGCTGAGCTCTGCACACTTCCTCTAAATGTGCATTACGGGGCTTTGAAGGAGGCAGAGGAGAATAATTTCAGCCTTGATAGAAGGGCAGGCATTCAGTGAGTCTTGAGTGCCGTCTCTGGCCAGCTCATTCAGGGAGATGACCTAAATAAAAACGATTTGTTGGCTTGTTTCACTTTCCGTTTGTCTCAATAAAGAAATTTATTCGTTGTATGTAAAGCGAGCGGCTAAACTGAAGGAAGGAAAGTTAAATTTTTCAAATAAATACAGAAACATAAATACAGAAACATAGAGAAACATGTCACTGATGAAAGCATTTGAGCAAAGGACAAACATTTAATAATCTCTGTAAGCTTATGAGGGGTTGAAGATTCAAGCAATGCTCTGCAAAAGTAAGCAAGCATCTAATAATCTCACATTGCAGACGTACTTCTTATAGTGATTATTTACATTGTTAGACTTTTATGTGACAAAAAAATAAAAGCATAATTTTGAAATGGAAATAAGAAATCCCATTGTTTTTGAAGATTTGAAGACTAAAAATAAAATCCCCTTTACAAGTCACCTAATCTACAGATGGATTTCACACATCGGATAGTTCTGTACTTCACACAGAAACACCTAGTTCTGTGTGAGGTACCACAAGTTTCATGCATCACATATTTTAAACCAACTGAATATTTAAAAGTGATAACACAAAGATAGCAAAGGTGCTTTGCAGCAATAAGATGAGGAGTTTGAATCCCAGTCTGAGGTCTTTCTGCATGGAGCTTGCATCTTCTCCTCCCGCATACACACATGCCTTAGTTTAATTGGTGTGTGTGGTTTAAGGGATGTGTATGTGTCGCTCTAGCATGTACCCTGATGAAGGAGACCTGCCTGATGAAGGAGACCCTACAAGGACAAGCGAATATAGACAATGGCTGGCTGGAATATCTACAGCTTACACTTTGATAAAAATGCTTTACAAGTTTTACACAGAAGCTTTCTGACAAGCTGCAGATGAACTGTGAGAATATGGAAACTTTATTGCCTCTGAGAGCCAAATATCTGAAAATCAAACATCACTTTGATGTATTGCACCAAAGACACACTCAGAAAGCTTGATGCTATCTTTGTCCTTGGAGCATCTTTTTTGAGAGTTCATCAGAAAACAGTTTTTCTCCGTCAAAATTTGACTTCTGCTTCCAAAAGCTGAAGATGATCATCAATGTGTCTTTATGACTGTGTGTTGCAACAACCTCTTTAAGTGACTGAAAAGGAAGAATCGTAACCATCTCCAGTGACTACAGAATGCAGCAGCAAGGCTTTCAACTAACAAAAAAAAAGACACAGCCCATTAGTCCTATTTTACTCTTCTCACATTGGCTATCAATACATTTTATTACTTATTTTATCATCTTAGTTCTCACTTTTAGAGTGAATCTATAGCAAATATCTCTTGCTTTTTAGAGCCTCCTCTCAGTCTGAGATGTTCTGGGAAGAGGATCTTAGTGGCTCCACACATATTTTGAGACGAGAGGAGATAAATCTTGTAGAGCGGTGGCTCCAAGGTTGTGGAATGAATTGCATTCATTGTTCTGCCTGTGAAGAAGCAGCTAAAGACTCATTTATTCAGACTGGCTTTTATGCAAATTGGGGCTGTAACCTTTTCCTGTTTTTGTGTATGCTGATTTACTTTTGCACCCTTTGGTTTTACTTTCCCTGTCCCTGTTTTTTATTGTTATTTTAAGGATGCTATGCTAACTCCTATTCTATGGTGGCCTCAAAGGTTTATTTTCCACAGCTTGTGGATTGCAGTTCAATCCATCATAAAATAAAAGTATGGCACGAATGCCATCCAGGTCATTACCGTCGACCTTTACTGACAAGGTGTTCAAGGAAAGCGTTAATTGGAGAAGATTGCCAGGAGCAGCTCAGGGTGAGAGAATGTGTTAACAGGATATTTTGGAAAATGGCGAGACATGCAGCCACAAAGAGAACAGAAAAACAAACAAGGTGCCCTGGTTGGATAAGACTGAAACATTCAAAACTTTGTGTTGAAAAACTACTGCACATCACCTTGAACACACCGTTCCAACAGGGAAAGATGGTGGTGACGGCGTCATGCTGTGGGGATGGAATGATGGAAGGGTTTAGATTAAAATAGTTCAGAAAACAAAAAAAACATTTCAATCTGAGCTTGAAGTATCTCACAGCGAAGTGTTTTGTATGCTGAGCCCGTATACCCGCTTCTGCACAGGGTTGTTAGATAAAATTCCAATAGTCTACTTTGAATTTATGGTCTTGACAGGTAAAATTTGTAAATGTTCAGAGAGTGAACATTTCTTCAACCAAATGTTAGAAAACAGCAGTATTTCTGGTTAAACACTTCCTCCTACCACATCCTACACCACTTCTTCAGAAACACTTTGAGGAAGATGAAGCCAAAAACAAAGTAGAAGCATTAAGACTCTTAATAAAATACTCTGGGGATCAAATTTAAATGAAAACCTAAGCTGTTCCAGAGATATTGCCCTATTTTTTTTTTTTTTTTTAAGAGTGAGGTCAGCAGTAATTAACTCCCCGGCCAAGAATTAAAATATGAAAGGAAGAGGCTGAGCTTAAAATGTGTGATTAGCTTCCAGTAGTCAAACTCTATATTATAGCTCCTGGTGGCATGGAGTAACTTTGCCTTAAATAATTTTCCTTATGGTGGCTTTGAATAAAGAATCTCCCAACATCCAACCTTCTTCATACCCAAATAGCTAGAGTTAATTTTATTAATAAAAAATTAGCAGTAGAGGAAATTGTCAAGACGAAGAACTCCCATCCTCAGTCTGACATTATTATTTCACTATGCACAGAGATGATCGAAGCGCCAAGGTCAGAAGGCGGCCAGAGATTCTGTTAACATTGGAGTTGTGAGAAGATAGAAACTGATGGTAACTGGACATCTGTTTTCCCACGTTCAGGTGAACACTCAGCACCCTGACCTCGCACCCCAACAGGATGAATTTAGTCAGTCGCCCAGCTGCTCCCTGTCTGACCAACAGCTGGGCCACGTGTCTTTCGCCCGAGAACTGCTAAAAAGAATGTGAAATGATTTTAATCAGTCAGGCATCCGTCACTGATTTGTTTTCTAAGAAAGCCCTTCTGCATCCATCATTAATACTTTTAAGTGTTAACAGTTTTAAATTCAAATCAAATAAAGCATGCAATAAACTCCATTCAAATGAAGCAGTGAAAAAAGAAATGAAACCATGAGGTTCATCAGACAGGATAAATGCATTTCATCAAGCTCAGTGATGTGATGTCGGACAGACAGGCAAGAAGGATGAAAGATGGGAGTGACAAGGACAAACAAATACACTCTGCAAAAGCAACCTTTAAAAATCCTGTTAGAAATGAACAAACAAAAAAAATAAACATTCATGGGGAAACACTCAAAACGCTCACCTCCTTCTCTCCCCTTGTCTTCTTTCCTCTCAGCAGCACAGCAGACGTGCAGTAGAGTAGATGGCACTCCTCATCCCAGAGCTGTGACGGTGTGTGTGAGAGAACACCCCTCTCTGCCCATTCATAGCTCCACCGACGCACCACTCACTCACGCACGACTCGACGTGCAAACAAACACGCAAATGCCAGGTGTGCTACGGTGTCTGAACACTTTGCACATCGATGTAGTGCCGTTCCTTTCTCTCATGCTTAATTACAACCAGGACAATTGCATGCAATGGTCTAAACAAGCATGTTAGATGGGATGCATTCCAAAACCACGTGCTCCCACATACTATGAAATATATACACTGCTGACGTCAACCAGGGGGATGACATCATCCATGAGTCATCTAATGGGTTTTGTAACTCGAATAAAGCCTCGCCATCACAGAAACATGGCACACCCCCATCCAGCAACAAGTCTTGGAAAATATAAATCAGTTCATTGGCTATAAACCTATCCAAGGAACCAATAGTAACTCTGCATAGATCATCACTGACGTTACATGAAGAAGGAAGTTTTCCTTTCACAGGATAAAAAAAAAAAAATGGGTGTATAAAAAGAGTTTGCAGGTACTCAGACGAATCAGTCTTGTATTGTTGAGCATGACTCATCCAGTCACTCCACTGAGCTCGAGTCATCTTAGAGTGTGCTGAATGTATAATCTAAACCAAATCACAAGCCATTTCTTTCAGGCAGAAACAGACCTCGGATTTATTGAAAAATAAAACGCCTTTCATAGCAAACAAATTAACAGAGTTGGTTAAAAGTTTTGCTAGGTAACATAACACTGAATCTGTCACCCCAATAACAATTTAGGGATCCTGAAATGCCGTCGGAAGTGGGAGGGAACGAGACATGACCAGAGCTTCACAAAGTGCCTTCACAACAAACCATGCAAAACATACATTTCAAAGAAACAAGTGCCCACACAGGAAAACATATTTCAAGTAATAAAAGCTAATCTTCATAAAATATTTAGAAATCATAAGACACAGACATGCAAGGCACGTTTAAAAGGGCTTCTCAGACAGTCCATGCTTCCTCTGCAGATATACACTTATGCTTTAGAGTTAACATTAAAACATAACTGCAGGTTCGAGGGTGAATTCATCTGTACAACATATTTCAGGGTTTTAAGGTCAAACGTTTTATGCATTTATGGGTGCAGTATAGATTCGTAGCAAACATTCTCCAATGAAGATCTGTAGTGTTTTAAAAATTAGACAAATGTTTGCCATAATGTTTTCACCCATATAGATTTGCCTTCAAAATCCTATTTGATCAAAGGCAGAGGCCAAAGAAAATACTGCCGAGTATGAGCTTATTCATTAAAGAAAGTGCATCTGGACCAACAACTATCTTTTTACATAAATCAGATCACATTTCTGTTAGATATTCAACTGGGTTTTAAGACTTTGTCTTTCCACGCAATTCTGCGTCAAACTGTTGTTTCCCTCAAGTCTTTAGATTCAGATTTAGGAGCATCAGAACTTTCTTGAGATTTATTGGCTGGAGCCAGAGCCGAAGCCGGAGCCGGAGCCGCAGCTGGATCCGAAACCGAAGCCGGAGCAGGAGCTGCAGCCGAAGTCGGAGCTGCAGCCGCAGCCGAAACCGAAGCCGGAGCTGCAGCCGCAGCATCTGCATTGTCCCCCGACTCTGTTTTGGAGTCGGTAGTGGAAGCGCTGGTTGGACTGGAATTGTCTGTATTCTGTCCCTGGTTTGAAGAAAGCTGCAGGAATGAAGGGATCTCTAGCTGCTCTTTGGTCAGAAGGCCTCGCTGGTCATCTACTCTGCAGCACTGAGCTTTTGTCAGCATGTCCAGAAATCCTGATGCAAATCAAGACAATTATGTTAATTTTGCAAGTCAATTTTCAAAGGCAAACAGTGTTGAGCAATGTGCATCAGAATCATCATTTAGTAAGATGTAAGTGACGTAAGTGGCAAAGCACTCTGCAAAAGTATTCTATTGATAGCTTAGGCCATGGACAAACAAAACAGTGCAAGATTTTGAATTGGTGAAAAAATTAATTCAAAAATATTTTACAAATAAAATTCCAAACTGCGCTAAATTGTATTTGCTTTCTAAAATGGCTGCTTTAATTACAGCGGCAACAGTTTTCAAATGCAACATTAGTAACTTTCATGACAAGAGATTTTTTTTTTTTTTTTTGCTACACATCAACACATCATCCATCATCCATACAGTAAAAAGCTGATTGAGAAACCAGCTCTACCAGCAGGAAACATCGATCCCAGAAAAAAGATGGGCTGTACTGCACACCACTCCTTTCTCATCTCTAATTGCCCTAGATTTTGACAAAACAATTTGCCCTCAGCTTCCAAATGTGGCCTGCTTCATTTAGCTTGAATGAGAATTAAAACTTCTGTAATGTTACAATTTCTTTTGAATGGATTTAATCTTGACCTGACTTTGGTTTATGGATTTAATAAAGACAGTGAAAATCACTAGCATAACACACTTGTCTATAAATGAGCTCCAGAGAACCAGGTGAGAAATCCTCTAACAGCATGTGGTGTAATACCCAGCTACACCAGACACTGGTGAGGTGCCCTACCGTCCATGTCGCGGTTCTTATTGGGTCTGAGCTGCGTCCTGACTCTGTCGGTCTGAGTCGATGATCGAGGCTCCAGGCCTCCTCCTGCCTGAGGACGAAAACAGTTCCCAGAGACATGATGCACCTTTTACATACAGAAAGCTTAATATCAACAAATACACAAGCATCATATTTACAACACTCTAGTTCTAATTTAAAAAAACAAAAACAACAAATGAACATCTAAACAGGATGTGACTGAGCTTTACAATTAATGGTGTGGTTCCAAGAAAACAGCTTTAGAGCATGCTGATGTGTAAACTCTCACTAAGTATTATAAAAACAATTACGGCTTCGTGTGTGGTGGGCAGAAAGACCACCACAGGGTTCTTGTCTAGTTTTAATTATCAGTGAGGAAGAAGATAAGGGATTGTTTTTTCATTTACTGTTTTAAAGCTCGCTGTTGGTGAACTGCTGAACAGCATTGTGGGTCTCCAAACAACAGTTTGTGTTGCTTAGAGACAGCTTGACCCATCTTTACTGGGATGTTCAATAATTGTGGAGGAAACAAATAATCAACCAGCAGCCATGGTTCCTAAAACTAATCAGACTTTTACCCACAACAAAGTAATAATCTGAAGTGGAGGACAAAAAGTCTTCTAATTCACAAAAAAGTGAAAAGCATTAAAGCTCTGATAAAATGGTAACAATTGCATTAAAGGCAGTCTGACCTGTGCAATAGGAGAAGAATTCCCTCCTCTGGGAATAATGGTCTGCTCTTTACCTATTTTCACAGAAAGAGAAAAATTTGTAACACCACTTCCGACGTAAAATCTCTTTGCTCTCCCTGAACGCAGGGAAAGGAGCTGAAGCACAGACCACAGCTCTGATATGATGTAGGAAAATGAGATGAGAAAACTGAAAATGACACAGTGTTAAACGAACCAAATTCACTGTGACACATCAAACCCACAGAAAAGAAGAGCAGAGAAAAAGCTCAGCAAGAAGTCAGAATAAAGAGAAAGGGACATGGATGAAGGGATTTAGAGAAACCAGGACAGTAAATTGCTCTACTACATTCAGAGAATGAGGCATAAAAACACCAGAAAAATATAAAAAAAATAAAGAATCAAATTAGAGGAAAGAACATAACATGATGTGTGTTACCAATAACATATGGAGACCAGTGTTAATTATTGGAAATGGTCACTTTTGAAGCAAAATGATTGGATTTTCTAAAAGTCCAGCATATCTACCTTTGGCTTTTTCCAACCGCAGCGTCTTATTGGCTAGTCTGAACACAGAGCAGTTCAGGTTCACAGGCTCGTCACTTCCAACCTGAAACAGACAGCAAAAAAGAAAGAGATCCTGTTGAACGTACGCCGACAGTCAGTACTAGCAACCTCAACTCTGGCTCCACATATGCAGACATAGTCAGGAAATTAGAATATCAATGAAATTTTAACTCAATTTATTAAATAGAAGATAATTACATTTTGACACCTTGACTTTTTTTTAGTTCTAGCCCATCTTCAGTATAATTAAAGATACAACTTTAATCATCCTAACTAAATGGTTGAAGATACCACATATAAAATTAGAATCTGACCCAGATGAAAAACAAATAAAAATATTTGGAAATGCAGGAATATGGACTAAAAATAAATTACTTATAAATTAGTTAAAATTCTAAAGCAATAATTTATAAAACAAAATAAAAATGTATTATGAATTAAAACTAGAATTCAGTTTTAATTCTAGGAATTAACACTGAATAAATATTTTAAAAATATATATAATTTATTTCAAGATTTATTCAGTTATTTATTTTTTTTATTTACTCATTTCATAATGGTGTTTTATTTAGTGACCCTTATTTCGTAAAGCTACTTGATGCATTTCATGGACTTATTTCTTAACTCTGTTTTTATTTCAGGCTCTTTCTATTTCACATTCTTCTAGTTAAATCAGGGACCGGACTTTCCTCAGGTCCAGGTCAGAGGGAAGCGAGTTGGGAGACACCGAACTTCACCGTGACTGCATGAGACTAACCCACTTCACTAAAATAGAAGTGGGTTCTTTTGACAAGACAGTTAGAGAGAAATATGCTGATGGACAGACTATATATACCTTTACTGTATGAGCTAAAATTAGAGCTTCAGACTTTGGTATTATTGTTTCTGTTTTGGTTTCCCATGGCTCTAAGAAATTATTCAATGTACAATGAATAACACTCGGTCAATCTTTGGGGAAATGTTGTCTGCTTTTGTGACTTATTAAATGAATCAGTAAAGGGGGTAATTTTGACTAAATCATCTCAATGAAGGGACAGTCGTTACAAGAATGTCTGTTATCAAAAAATACCCTCTTTTGAAATCTGAAGTAAGTCAAACATGACATATGTTGAACAATTATTTGTCACAAAAAAAACAATTTTAAAGAAATAAATTATTGGAAATGTTCTTTTGCCGTTTATTATGTATATGTAAACTTCCAACTTCAAGCTGGACACTACTGAAAGAACAGACTAAACAAATGCATTTGATAAAGCCCAGACCGCATAATATGAGAGAAATTGCAATACTGTTTCTGAAAATTGTGATGGCAATATGTATTACAATTAATCAAAATTTTCCAAGCTTTCTTCTTTATCTTTTCACATATACAATGTTCCTACCTCTCCACAAGTTTTTGCATTTTCACCACTGTAACTGTACACCCAGTTTGGCCAGTCAGGCAATTTATCACATATTCATACTTTGTAGAGTATAAAATTTTCAGTAGCACATACTACCAAATATTGCAGTGTATTGCAAAGCACTGCTTACATTTTAATGGCACTTATGACTCAATAAAAGTAAAAATGTGAGTTTATTTGGCATAAGTGTAAATTATGTTCTGACAACTGCAGGGGAAATTGTGTACTGCTAATTCTAGCAAGTATCTATTCATGGCAAATCATTTTTAATTTTTATTTAAAGGTTTAAAAAATTTAATTAAATGGTGATACTGTTAAGCATAAGTAACCATTCCTAAATAAAAGACTGATTTATATACATTAAGGTGTCAGACATAACCACTTACCATAGTTACCGCTGTCTCTTGCGGCTTTAGATGGTACTTTTGCATCACTGAACAGAGAGCGTCCTGCAGTGTTTTACTGGACTTCGCCATGATTCCCACTGTTTTACCAGTAAAGGCATTCTCCAACCTGTGACAAGATAACATTTTCAAAAATAACCCACACAAATCCTAGTGAAAACAATGCTGATACATAAAATGAAAGTCAACACCTAATGACCTCTTCACATGAAGCGGAAATTTGACCTAATTTGGTCATGTGTTTGAAGAAATCCTGCCTAGAAGGCAGATGATGTGTGCCAACAACATCAGGATTTCCCCCAAATATGGTGAGACGTGACATGTTGTAGTGGTCGTGTAGTGGGTGTGAAAGTCTGCTAATGGTGACTAAAAAGGCAGACAAAAAAAGAATGAAAAGGAAGTGACTAAGATGACTCACGCAAATGTCACCCTGAGCTCAAGAGAGACCTGTTGATCTCTCAGCACGGAGCAGTCTTGGTCCAGCGACAAGGGCTGCCAAAGAGAGAGAAAAGTACACAAGACAGGAAGAAAAACAGTGATTTATTTTTTATTATTTATTTTTTTAAACAGCATCAGTTTCAACCAAAGGTTTCGGAAACGAAAGGCTGAGATGAGACTGAGAGGATGTTGGAACAGGAAGAGGTTAATCGTCTCACATGTTACCAAACATGGTTAAAGAGTGGCACTGCAGCTGACAGCTTCATCTGAAACAGCAAGTGCTGCAGCACACAGAGGAGAAGCTCTCACCTTGTCCTTGCCATGAAGATAAATCATGACATCTTTTAATGGGAAGCCCCTTTTCTCACACAGGCTGGCCAGCATGTCCTTGATGGGCTGCCCATTACGTGTAGGGGCCAAGGAGGCGCTGCCGTCAGGCAGGTAGACACAGCAGTAACCCCCCTCCACCCCAATACGGCTCCCGATGCCAGCAGCCTGATCGCGGGAGATGGGACCCGGCCGACCGTTCTACACAAGATGGAGAGCAAAAAGAGAATATTTAGACGAATTTCCCAGCTTCAGGTCTGCATTTTATTATTGTAGACCTGAAGCTGATTACGTAAGACCATGGTTTGTTTGACCATAATCTTACATAATTGATCATTTATATGATCTGCAACATTCCTGGAATATTTGTCACAAATGTACTGACCTCCATCTGTCTGCAGAGGGAGCCAAGCTCCACACTGCTGGTTGATTTGATTGACATATTTGACTGTTTCAGAGGACCTGAGCCGTTTGATGGATCTATAGACAAAAAGAGAAAAACTCAAAATACAGAATAAAAAAAAAAAGAAAGAAACAATCTGACATACGACCACTACTACCTCCCCAGGATCCTCTTTTCTGCCGCTGTTTCTCTGAGACACTAGTACCACTTGGTAGACTATTGGAGTCAGTCTTTCTGTTCTGTTTGACAGATTTATAGAGATAAATCAAGGTTTAAAAGGAATAATGGGTTGTTGCCTTGATCTTTATGCTATTCACCTTCTTGTCACTTGAGGGGCTCTTGTTGGCCACGTCGTCCAATGACCTCATGCGGACAGGCTCTGTCGAGAGCTGAGGTAGATGTTTACCTTCTACGCTTGCCAAGGTGCATCGCTGATAGAGAGGAGAGCGCACAAAGCGCCGGTAGCTGTCCATCTTCATCAATTTAAAAATCTAACACAAGAGAAGGATTAGGGCTGAACTCCTGAGTTAAGCAATAAATACATGTACCAGTGACTATATGGGAGTGTAAAAGTTCTGCTAACCTGAGCCTGAGATTTGTTAAACATGTCAGGAGTGGGTTGCTCCAGATCCTTCTCCTCCGTCTTGGCAGTGTCATCGATGTTCACACTGTAGGGAGCGCTGTTAGACAGGTAAGTGTCGTAGATGGAGCGAGCTGCTGCTTTCAACTAAAAAGAACAGATAAACCACAATGAATCAATGGAGATTACACACCATTTCTCACTTACTGTATTCAAGCTGTTGAATAGGAAAATAAATGTCTATGCAACCTGTTTTCTACTTTGTTAAATGCAGTAAAACCAAAACATTTTCAAATAATTTTAAAATTAACATAGGAGCAATTCTTTTCCAACAATGAAATGCTACACTCAGCGTTATCTATGTGATTTTCTTTATTGCTGTAGAGGCTCTGCTTCAACTCAGCTGTTTTATTAAAGTGAGTGTAAAACATGCATGTTAGAAAACAGAGCTTTAAACACTCAACGAAATGAGTCAAATAAATACGGGAGCTAAAGAGTGACACCACACCTGATCCAAAGATGTGGCTGGAATCTTCCTGAACTTTTCACATTCTTGCCAGAATAAAATGTTCTCTGCACTCACTTCGGACTTCAAGAAGGCCTGTAGAGAAGCAAGCAAGAAACAAGAACAAACATGCCTAGCTTAGCAGGAATACCTTTAAAAAAAAAAAGCGTTATTATCCAAATAGTCTGTCTCACCGTAAAGTAACAGACCCCATGGGGGTCTTCTAACAGCTTCTCAAAAGAGACGGCCCAACTCAGGACACTGTTGGCGGAGTTGACGTCCCCTCCTGGGGTCCCTGGGAGGCTGGAGCTGCTGCCTCCGCAGCCCCGCGCAGTCATGTTCAGCTCTAAAAACACAATCACACCTACTTTATGAGAGCTAAACAGAAAGCTGGAACTTGAGGCTTAATCAGATCTTTTCATGCTCAAACATGTTGAGATATGTAAAAGGTTGGTCATGTGCATGCTTACCTCCATCTGACACTGCCTGACTCTGGGAACAAATAGAGAAGTAAATCAGGAGGCTTTATAAAGCAAACAAAATGTAGGGAAGAATATCTCACTGCAAATCAACTTTGCTGATTCTGTCTTAGACTTACAATCTCTTCAAAAACAATTTCTGAAATATGCTTTTGAAAATGTGGCTCCATTACTATTATACTTATTGTCTAATTGTAGGAGAATGCTTAGACAAAAATGAACATTTCTGCAACACCAATAAATGCATTCAACCACATACAATAGTTACATTTACAAAAGGAAATGTGAACAACAGCTGCAGATTTTTTTCTGCATGTTCTGTCAGTGTAGCGCAATCAGCCAGGACAGTTTTCACAGGAAGTGGTTGCAACACTGATGACAGCAGTTCTCATTCAGCTTTCAGAGCGCACAAAAAAATGTCATGTCTTGCAAAAGTATCTCCCACAGTAGCTGACAGACAAGAGTTTTGTGAAACTCTGGGATCAAGAAACAAAGATTTGGCTAAACAATTATTTTTCAATGTAATTCTATGAAAAAGAAGAGAGAGATGAGGTGGATTTGTGAGAGGTATTTATGTTTTCCTGTCTGGGTTTCCTAATGTGGGGGCTCTGTTTCCTACCACAATCTACACATGTACAGGCTGGTGAATAAAAATTACTCAGAAGTGTGAATGTAGATGTGTCTGTCACTCTAACAAAAAAAAATAAAAAAACTTCCCCACAGACTATAAAGGTCGATGTTCTAATTTATAAATGCAATGATATAACTACCATCATTGTTTGCTAGTAGTCTAAGCTAAGATGCTCAAACTGTACAATCTCAAAAAAATATATATTGTTTGTAGTTTTTGTACCATTTGCTTTAGTTTCTTATATTTTCCATTCACTTTCATTTTTAGTCTTAGACTTACACCAAGCAGACACTTTTGTAAAAACACCTTGGTAGTTACAAACTTTAAAAGTGCCTTAATTATTCAAGAAAACAATTCACCATGACTCTCAGATGATATGTCATAGTGGTGAATAGATTTCAAATTACTCCTCTGAGAATTTGCTTAATCTTGAAATTATAGCATCATGCAAAAGCTGAAGATTCCACACCAGTTTCAGATAATGTTTGTGTAATTTTGCATTTCATGGAAGTAGACCTCATAAGACACAAACACTGTGGTAATGAGTGTACCACAGTATACACTCACAGTGAGTGTACATTAAATTGGGGGGACATCCCCCCCCATTTTGCTGAGGGAATTTACCTCCCCAGCAAAATGATGCTAATCCTGTGCTATTAGCATCAATGACACTCCAAAACAGACCCTTGCTGATCCAGGCAATGTTTTTCCAATATATTATTCTTTAGTTTTGATGAGCTTGTGTATGTTGCAGCCTGAGTTCTCTGTCCTTAGCTGCCAGCTGCTGCTGTAAACCATATGTTCCATGGTTTGAGGTGTTGAATGTGTAGATCTGGTATTCAATATACGTTGATTGTCGAATGGTTATGTGAGCTACAACTTCCACAATATTCTTGTCATCCAAAAAATAATGACATAGTAGACATTTTTTCCTTTTTCTGCCCAGTGTGTGTGGGAGAAATTCCCATAGATCAGCAGTTTATAAAATTCTAGAAATTCATTGTCACCTCAATCCATTAACCTCAGGCTCATCCTTGTGGGATTGCGAGATGTGCCGATCCCTATCTCCAGCAGTCAACGGGCAAGAAGCAAGGCACACTACAGACAGGTCGCCAGTCCATTAAAGGGCAACACAGAGTCAAACCACCATGCACACACACACATTCACATCTAAGGATAATTCAGAGTCATGCTTTTGGTCTGTCGGAGTAAGCTGGAGTAGCCAGAGAGATACAGAAAGACGCGAGGCTGGGACTCAAACCCAGGACCGTCTTGCTGCTACACAACAATGCTACCAACTGTGCCACTGTGAGCCTAAATCCCTTGCTTTGAATTTCATTAAACCGCCATTTTGGGTTGATTAAATGCACCGAGTTGTTGCCAGGTGATTCACCATTTGTGTTGAGCAACTGAACAGTTGTAAATGTTTCATTTACACAGTGGTCACATAAAATGACCACAGTGTATTTTTTTTATTAAAAATATGTTTTTAACCATTTGTGTAACTGTAGTTTAGCAGCCTTAGTTCATGATGAATGAAGCTGGTTGAACACGATTGTGTTTAATTTGAATCATTATCAATCATTATCCTGATAGTAAAAGATTAAGCTCAGTGTGGGAGGAATTTCTTAAATTACAGCATTGTGTATTTTGTCTGTATCCCCAGTTGTTTTTATTTCATTAAAACAAAAAGCAGCTTTTTATATTAGTCTAAACTAAGTCTCTTGTCAATAAATAAAAGGCTAGAAAAAGCAGAAGGGTTGAAACCAGTTTCAATCCAATGAATTTAACAGAACATATTGCATGCGAGATGTGATCTAAATTGCTTTTTGTGTCAAAGATCAAATTACCAATAGAACTAATCACAATGTGTCTGAGCTATTAAACTGCTTTAAAGAGCATTTTTCAACAGTAATATGCTGACCTTTGCTGCAACTGCACTCCTCATTGACTTCCCCATTTATTTATTTTTTCCTTTTTTGTCTGTTTGATCTGAAAAGCCATCAGTCATGGCAGAAGGAAGTCAAAAAAACAGTCAAACAAATGTCAATAAATTGAATCAAATAAAGTAACACTATCTGGCTTGCCCACATTGTGTTTTCTGTACTTAAGCAGAAACAGGAATGCAAACATAGAAGGTAGCTGCCAAATTATAAAGGAAATTCTTACGTTTCATGCAAAATTTGTGCTAAACGTCCAAGACATTCGAGGGCATCTACAAAAAGACATTTATTTAAGAGCTGAGCCATTTCAGGAAATGGAGAGTGAATTCAAGCCAACTCAGCCTACACAGGACAGATTGGACCACATGTATGACTCGCTTTATGCTTCTGGCTCATAAAGACCGGCCTGTCTTCAGCGGCAACCAACTGCAGCCACACAGCCTGATTGGTGCTGGCTTTGCGGGATCGGGAAGGCAGGCGGCACACGTCAACATGGGACAACTGTTCATCAACCCGCTAAATGTCGACTGACACTTAGCGGTATCAGGAAGTACTAAAATGAAGGCGAGCACTTAAAACGATAAAACCTACAAGTTAATGGGTGCAAAACACAAAAAGAACTGGGCGCAGATAAAAATCAACAGAAACCTGTTCAAACCTAAAAAGAGTGGTACACGCTTACCATGTGGGCAAGAGGAATCCCTAAAGAATTGCAATTCTTCGCCATTATAGCCTGGATACCAGATTGAAAAACACACACACACAAAACACCTCTGTCCTCTCCGTCAAAGGGATACAGCGAAGTGCTCCACCCAAACTTGATGAGCACTCTTCATAACAAACACTCAGACATCACTTGGGTCTTCCTGTCACTTCCTGCCTGGAAGGGAAGTCTCGCCATAGCAACAAGCCACAGAAGAGGAAGTATGGTTACTATGATCAAACTGTTTTCAACCTACATCTTGAGAAACTCTGTGATGTGGGCTCGTAAGCAGACTCACTATGCTTTGTGAGCAGTTCAGCTGCTGTGTGCACTTTGAGATGCATGCAGCTGAGTTTTAGTTTTGACGCAAGTCACAGTTATAGTTCCCCACAAGGCTGTTTCGTGTTTTGGGGAAAGATTTCACTTCAAAAAGTCCACATACAATGTCAATACAAACAAGCAGACGAGCCCAGTTGAAATAAAAAATATGTAGTTTATATTATCCAGGTATATTTTTTTTATCCAAATATCAGATTCGTTTTAGAATAAGAGGCTCCAGAACATTTTTATGACAAGTTTCATTTAAGCGGTCAAATTTCACCAGCTCTCTGAGTTCTTCTAATAAAGCTAAACTCATGTAAGGAAAGTTCATAATGAGTACAAATAATGCGGAGGCAATTTGACCAATATATTTTGGGACACGTGTAATTCACTCACCTTTCTCCCCTCTCTGTTACAACAAACTAAAATACGCAATTTCTTGTACGTCCTGTGTTGCTTCAGGGAAACGCGTTTTGCCAGGCCGGAAAACTTGTGAGAAAGTGCACTGAGAGCCACCATTTTTAGTAATAGGAAGAGAAAACGGTTTCACGAAACCACAAAGATGACAACATCCAGCACCTCCTCGGGACGACACCTACTCTCAAGTACGCGACACAACCAACAGGTGGCACTGGCTCATTTTAATTAATGGCGGCCAATTTAGGCTCGCCATTAATTAAAACTGTTTATTTATTTTTCAATATGTGGCACGAGAAGACAAACTTATTTTCATTACCCTTAATATTTCTGCAATATCTGTTCTTAAAACTGCAAAATGAATGCACACTTACCCCAGAATCAGACTTCGGCGTTGCGTTTAGCGTCACGTCAGAGTTAACAGAGACGGAGAAGCAAGTATATCGACGTGGCGTCGCCCGTAGACGTTGCGGTGTCCCTGGACATAATTTAGAGACTTAATTTCCATAAGCAAGCACCGCTTTTAATTTATTTTGTTTAGACTTGTAGGTGGTGCGAGTAACTTTGCTTCTAGACAAACTTTTTCATGTGTGTCTTGTGAAATAAATACATTTATTTACCCCACAGCTTGTTTTTAATGTTGATACGAGGAGCAGCCATGTTGAAATGCAAAGTCGGCCTTGCAAGCTGTAACTGGGGTTAGTCAGAGTTGCTCTCGCTTTCCCAGTGGGAAATTCCAGTTTCAATTGATTTTTCCAACTGGAACTCAGCAATAGAAGTGGGCCTCCGTGTTACCAAATATAAACAAAACGTGGTCTAAATAATTACAAAATATGCATTTTATGTATAATTTTTTAAGTCATAAGAAAGAAATGTCTGAAAACTAAAAAGATTGGCTATAGAGAGCTTTTGGACTGATGCAGGCAAAAAGCTCAATGTAATAAAACAGATAATGCTCCAAAGAATAAAATGAACACAAACTGTGGGGTTTGTTTTACATGTGCGACTCATTCGCTCCCAAATGACTCATGTTTGGGATCATGCAAATCTGGCAAACCAACTAAGGAAAGAACTGGAATAAAACTTCAAAATATAACTGGACACAACACAATTACTCTCAAAGATTGTCAGTGACACAAAAATAAATGCTTATGCGATAAACCCAAAAACAACATGCATAGTGAGAAAGGTCCTGGCAGCTAATCTTTTCCCTATGCAGTGTGTCAGAACCAACTCCCAAATGGGGCACTTAGATCACTGTAATGAGTGAAATGAGCAGGATCAAAGGTCCCTCATAAGCTGTTAAATGATTGTAATTAACAGAAAGCTATTTCAAAGCTTGCCTAGGCCTGTGCTTTCTCGATTTCCTTCGTAAAGACTGACAGCAGCTCTTGATGTAGTTATGCCTTAACCCCACTCATTATTTCAGCTCTTCATTGTTCGCTGTTGCAGTATGGAAGATGATCATGAAATCTGACTTAGAAAAGTTTATTTTTAACCAGATTTAGAGAAAAGTAAGGCACCACACTTTCGTTAAAGCATGTTCCCTCTTTTCTGTGCTTCCTTATATTGTGGCCTTTTTGCTGGTGGAAAGACATGGATTGTGTCTGTGCTGGTGTTTGACACGAGTTGTCACTTGAGTAGATTTTTGCTTTCATTTTAAAATGTCAGCGCACATAAACTAAAGAGGAAATGGCAGCAGGGTGCAATATGTATTCAACATGATTTTCATCAGCTGGACCAAAGTGTGGAGATGTGGCTCGCATGCAAATTGCAACACACAAAGAAATGTCTGTTAGTTTCTGTGCGGTCACCTTCTCTGTGTGTTGTTTCTTTCAAACAGTCTGGTGCTTAAATTGCATTTTGGTGAATTTTTGCTTCATTTCCACTCTTTTGAAGAATCTCTGTCTCTATTGTGCATACTTAAAAGAGCTCCAGAATTCCATCCACTCAAAGAAGTAATAAGGAAACAAAAGATAATCTACAGCACTCTCTAGTGGCCAGTCTATGAATATATGTCTCACTATGAAGACCAAGTATGTCTTTATTGAATGTGTCTACTTAAAATTAAGTTAACTTTTGTTAATGCGTGTATTTCTAAGTAGGAGTATCCTTGATCTGAGTCTCTTTGTACGCTATGTGCTCAAGGGAAAAGGCCTTTGCATAGAGAACGTTTTTTTTTTTTTTTCTGATGACAGGATGTTCTTAAGTACTCCTTTGTGAGTGCATGCCTCACTTGACCTCACATATTTCAATTTTTTTGTAAAAAAACAAAAAGCAAAAAAAAAACCCATATGAAATGTGAAATATTTGAACAAATTTGCATTAATCAGCACCCATACTGCGATGGCTGGCTATCACCTACACCTTTGAAACAGATAAACAGTGGCAGTGTTTGTGATGCCAAATTCCAGGGATGAAAGAATTTGCATCCCTATCTGAGTTCATAATCCGTTCTTCCGAGCTTTTTCTGTTGCAGAGACCTTCAGGCTAAGCAAACCAGAGCAGGGCAATGCACGGGTCTGTGCCTTGAGCGACAAACCAGGTAAAATCAAGACATTTAAGCCTTGAAATAATGTAATCTTGGGAAAAATGTAATTATTTGCGTCAGTGTATCCTAAGTCTAAAATTTACGAGATGTTCTTTGCACTTAAGTCTTAAATTGATCACTTTTGGTTGACAGAAAATGATCAGAACAGGGAGAGAGCTTTTGCTCGGACTTCTTCTGGGTAAAAACTTATATTTGTTTATTCACCATTTTGGCAGTCTGGGTACCAAGTATTTCTATTTGATTCTGTTTAAACTCCTCCATATTCTATTTGTTTTTGTAGTTTGTGTCTTCTCTTCCTCTCCTGCTCAGGGATGTAATATCACAAAAGGTAAAAACAAAAGTTATTTATGGCCACAATTTCATCAAAATAGGACAAAAGTGTTTTAAATTAGTGTTTTTTGTTTATTATTTCTCTGTAGAATGCTGTGAGAAGAAAATTAACGTCACTGAGTGTTCTAACGGTATATCCACTCTTTCTTACTTGTTTATTTTACATGTGATTGGAAATGCTGTAGTTTTAATGTCACTCGTTCAATAAAGTCAAACAGAGGTAAGCACAAACGTGGTAAACACAGGAGACTCAAAATATTTACTAAAAATGTGTAACTGTTGATATTCCTTATAATTGTTGGACCACATAGACAAGGAATGAGCTAAATTATTAGAAAAGTAACTTTCTAGGTCTTACTATAAACTGCTAGTCAGAAGTAATATCATTATCATCCAGAAGTAAGCCAAACAATATATCTATTTCTTACAGATCACTGTAAGCTATAAACTTTTCAGATCCTCCAAGACTATCACTACTAAAACTCTTTTTCTTCCCAACAGACTTCAAAGCAAATGTCAATAGTTCTCTATCCACCATAAAGGAGAGCGATGACGTGACTCTAGAATGCTCCCACAACATCCCTGCTCTGAACTTGAGCTATGAATGGTTCTGGAATGACAAAAAAATTGTCGAAGATAAAGACAAATATGATCATGTCAATAACAAAACATTAATTTTGAAAAAAGTCCTTTCAAGCAGAAAGGGCGATTACAAATGCTTTGTGACCACCTCATGTGGCAGCTGTGAATCCGAGCCATATCATCTCGAAATAGAGAGTAAGTAGATGTCTTGAGTCCACAATGGCTCTCAATTGTTTTTCTTAGGAAAACAAGGTCAAAGATTTTAACTTTTGCTATTTTTCTTGTTCTTGTTCCCTGTGAATCTCCATCTGCTGTCATTCAGACAACTCAATCGTGATCATAATTGTCTGTGGGGTTGCGGCTTTGGCCCTTATCCTAATAATGGGGGTGGCTATGAAGATTAAGCTTAAAAATGACAAGGGTAAGAACTTTTTTTGGATTGTTTAAGTATTTAATTCTCTTTTTTCTTTTTAAAATGTTAAACTGACTGAAGGAGCTGTAGTCTTATTTGAAGAAACATGGCTGTAGTCTGCAGTCGCTTAGAATAACTGCACAAAGACTAAAACATGGGTAAACACCTACACTCCCTCTATGCAAACTTAGTAAAATTCCCAGAGGCTTGCAAACAAAGATGTTTTAATAAATTTCCTATGAAAGGTGCGTCTTGGATTAACAGAGCCGTGTGGATTCATATGACTACAGCCATGCAAATCTGAAAACTTCCCCGTACACTCTGAAATTATTTAAAACTTTATCTAAAATTAAAACTTTACCTATGAACGTAGACTTTGAATACTGCACAAAAATTGACACAAATTTAGATGTTAACCAATTAGCAACGTCAGTGGTTAAATAATGAATAATGCTTTTAAAAACAGTCATGAATAATGTTACTGATGATGCTGTTATTGCTACACAGACCTTATAAACTGAGCTACAATTCATTCTGGTCCATAACAGAATTTCAAATATAGTTTCAGAATAGAAAACCACAACTGAGAGTTGTTCAGACTCTGACCACTAGATGGCATGAGCTTCTATTATGATCCAGTGTTGACCCGGTTCATCGTCAGCAAGAACTAGTTCTTAACGTTGTTCATCCAGATTACAATACACACATCATAAAAAAACTAGATATTTTGGACCTGAGTTCCTATACAAACTAGTTCTTGTTCATTTGTCATATTTTGTATGATGCATTGAAAAAATATAGATAGATTATGACATCATTAACAAATATGCCTCGCACCTATTTTATTCTGTCTTATTTGTTTTTGCTCACCTCAACATTATTTTAATAATTGCTAAATTTCCAAAATGTCTGACATCATGCACAAACATAGAGATATAGACATATTCCACCAGTTTAAAAATAATACTGATGCTGCTTTGGAAAGATAAAGTAAACAAGCAAAGTTGATGTGTTTTTTTTTTCTTTTTTATGACCTAGAACATTTGACCAAAGATTTTCTTTTTATGCCTCAGATTATTTATTTTACTGTTAAATAAATTATGTTTTTTTTTTTTTTTTTACATTTTGATTGCATTTAAATAAAATACCTGCAAGTTACTTTAAGCCATGCCTCAAACTCCTGAAAACATTCCCCGTAAACATAATTTCTCAGTGCACAGTGTTTCATCTGTGTTATTTTTCATCATTATCAGTTGGTGAGCAAACTTGGTTTTATCATAAGTAGCGTGAGAAGATTTATGACATTTTGGAGTTAACACTAATTTGTCTTTTCGCCTAGAGCTTCATTGTAAGATAAGGGTTTCAATCAGATTTGCACATGTTTTAAACATTAAACTGGAACGAGACCAAACAAACTCGATACGATGTGACAGTCTGATGCTTTTAAAGGTCTGGTTGATTAATTCCTTTAGTTTTGGTCTCACTTAGCTTTGCTGCTTCCTCTCTTTGTGAGCGTTTGTATTTATTTAGAAGAGATGGCTGTTATAATGATGTTTGCAGATCTTGAAGCTACTTATTATGAACTTACTCAGTGCTTATTAATCAGTGTTACCCTATGCTTATTGGCAGTTCAACACAAGGAGAGAATGAAGCAGAGGGCAGAGCAGAGGGCACAAGATGCACAGAATGCTGGTCCAATCCCATTTTCCAGAGGATACTGAAGAAAATGGCCTTTTGCATATAACTGTGATGGATTCTAAGCTTCCTGTCCTGTCAATGAACTTTTTCTGTTTCCTTCTGTAAATAAAGTCTCCAGTTTCACTTGGTGTCACTGTTGGGGGATAAGAAATTCAAAGTTAAAGAACACATCAGTTGTTTTTTTCTCTCTTTTTTCTCAGATTGTATATTTCTGAAAAGGTTACTGTTAACATTCTCACTAGATGTTTGCAAAAACCCCAGTAATAAACAAAAACCTTGATTTACAATGTTAATGTGAATTGAAATAGCATAGAGTTAATATATTGAATGGAAGAGGTGCAAATATAAATAAAGAGCTAAAAATCTAACTGAAATCTGTCAAAAATCATTTTGATCTGTGTGACGCAATTTCAACTGGTTTAGTCCAAAAAAAAAGGTGTCTAATTATTATGGTATGCTCCACAAGGAACCATGTCACTGACGATAATAACAGGCTTTCAATAGCTTCACAGAGTCATAGTTGCAAAACATTCTGATGTCTTTTGTTAGACATACTTCTGAACGTCTGATTGTTTCAGTCGGTACTGCTGTGGTCATAATCTAGAAGTGGGAATATCTTTTCACCACAACCTGGCCCCAATCAGATGATCTTCCAACATTGCTCTTCGGAGAAAAATGTATGTTGAATCTTGTTTAAGGTTATTAGCAGAAGATTTGGACAAACCAGTAAAGTACAGAAAAAAATAACACGTCAAAAATGTCATCCCATCAGTGACGTTTGTAGGTGAAAGCATCATGTCCTGGGGTTATTTTTCAGTAACTGGTACTGTCAGACCTCTAACTGAAGGGAGGACAACTGGAGAAAAGTAATCAAATGTTCATGACAAAGATTCGTTGCCTTGTACAAAGTGATGAAGACAATAATCCCACATACTCTGCAAAGGAAACAGCCAGTCAGCATCAAAGAAAGAAAATAAAGCTGCTAGATTGAGTCAATCAACCAACTTGACTCTGCTTGAAAATTTGTGGATGAAGTCAAAAATCAGCGAATTGGCAATTTGTCCGCAAAATGTTTAAGATTTGAATCCAGCTTGTGTGGATGAAATGGACAAAATAACTCCTGACCAATACATCCCAACGAGTCTGTTTTTTCAGTACAGTTTACAACTTGATACCATCATTGCTAAAAAAGTAAAAATGATGGATAATAATTGTGTTCAACTAATATTCCTAGCATCATTCCACTGTTCCAATAGATATTTTGATCTCTGCAGGTTACATGTTTTTTTGTTGTTTTTTTTTATCATACTTCTGTGGGCCCATTTGAAACTCCTAAAAAGTGCTGTGTTAAACACTTATTTTCCCCACTGTATGAATATTTTTCATGATGTAATGCTCCTTCCACATTGCCCTGTTTGGCTGAGGAAAACAAGTCTAGAAATGTTTTAATCCAAATACAGGATAGAGATTCCCACTAATCCTCCTGGATGCTCTATTCACAGAAGCACACTCTACACAGAGCAGCTTAACAGTGGCTAGCCTGTAATGGATATATTGAACAATAAATCCATCCAGTCACCCTCTAAAAGGCAACCATATGAGGAATCAGACTAATGAAAGCAGAAACAGTCTCCTGGTTCAACACTGATTTAACCTTGAATGTTTACATGTTAACCTTTTCCACACTGAGACCACAGAGTGTCTTGCATTAACAGCAGTCATATGGGTGATCATTTTCTTTTTCCAATCTGTGTATGTGAATGGGTTGGGAAGAACTGTTTATTTAGCTGCCTCCTGCAGCAGGTGGCAAACGGATAATCCAGGTAAAGCCACTGCAAAGTGGAGAGGGAGGGATGGACCAAGGTGTGGGGGGAAGGGAGGAGGATGGAGCGGCCTTTGCTTGGACGGCGAGGGCTAATTCTGGCCTCCTAATCCTAGTCCCCATCCACCCTCCCCCTCTTCCTGCTCACAGTGGCACTAAGGAGATGTTGACGCCCAGGTAGACATTATCACTTACACACATAACACTTAACCTAGACAAGTTTTCAGAGAAGGGGAGAGCGTAAAAAAAGCAGTATTTGCAGGTTAATTATCTGGATAGATACTCTGCGTGATCTGGATTGCTTACACACCTGTGTGAGTGTCTCTGGAGAATGTAGCTGCAGCCTGTTAGCCAGGCCACAGGACACACACCAACATGGGAGAAGCTCAGAAGGTAGGTGAGCTGATCTGCCAGAGCAGGACATAGAAAGTCAAATGTTAGCTTACATCTATGTGTTTCTTTAGGTTGGTTATAACTCGAAGAAGATGAATCATTCAGGATATGACATTTTTTTCTCACTCTTTGTTATTCTCAGTCAGAACGGATTATCCAAATTCCTCAGGTTGTGAGTTCAGCTCTAATTATACCGTTACATTTGTCTCTTTGATGTGGAGTAAATCGCACGAGCGTCATTAGACACATCACTAACAATCAAATGTTGAACTCTCGGTGCAAATACTCAGCAACGTGGCGGACCTGCTACGCCACAAAAACTGTTGCGCAACCTTTCAGACTGATCACATTGAACAAGGTTCTATTATATGAATGGAGCATCTGATGCCAGAGCTTTTCTAAATGTAGCCTCAGATTAATTTTTCTCAGAATGGGGGCTGGGGGAGCGTCAGTCGCATCAAATCTGTGAGCATGAGTTGGAAAGAAAGCTTTAACCACAAATCAGACAGAGGTCAGAGAGGGTTTATCAGTTTACTGATAGAAGTCATGTTTGTTTTCTCATTAGCTGTTCAAGCAGTTTCTGCTCCTTGACTCCCATTACAAGAATAAAAAAATGCATTGTTGTGTTACAGGTGTAAACACAGTTCACTTCCTTGCCATATTTTTTCTCTGTCTGACCTCCTGCCCCTGACACTCATCACCTTGCAGGGCTTACTCTCTGTCATAGAGAAACTGAAAGGATCCACAGATCAGGAGGTCAGGATAGTGCTGCTGGGTTTGGACAACGCAGGCAAGACAACACTGTTGAAAAGCCTGGCCTCGGAAGACGTGAACACCATCACACCAACACAGGTAGGAGGAAGTGCTTAAGAGCCAGTAACATGCAGACTGCATGGCCTGCTTTCTAAAAACATAATCAGACTTTTTGGGTGTATGTAGTAAAAGTATGACATGGATGTCATCTTCCCATCTTTTAAATAACCTTTCAAAAGAACATAAACCATGCTCTGATTTGTATTTCCCCAGCACGCTTTCTTGCAAGATATACAGACTGAAGCCGAGTTCTATTTATTTATTTTTTTCCCCCTATCGTCTCGCTCTGATGCAATTATCTAATCTCTAATGTCATTATCTGATGCCCTTATCTGACTCTTCCAAGAAAATATTTGATGTCCTGCCAGGTCCTGGACCAGTGTGACAGCTCTTCAGGCGGGGAGGATGTCAACCAGTAAGACACGGCGACAGTGTCCGTAGAAGTAAATCAGACTTGACACATCAGCCCATACTCTTGGCTTGATCCTTCTGGTCTTATCCTCAGATTTGGTCCTCGGCTGCCCCTCGGGATAACGTTGTTATAAAACTTTGCCAAGTGAAACACGGGCGAGATGTTATGAAAATCAGCTGCGGATTAACACGCTGGCTGTGTGTTTCTAAAGCACACCTCACTCTCTCTCTGACACATAGCTAAGAACGACAAAGCAAACTTTATTGGAGATGTGTTTTAGGAGGCTTCCACTCCGCTTTGCACATATTTTGAATTATATGCTGTGACACATTGCTCTCTGTGGTTTCTTCCAGGGCTTCAACATAAAGAGCGTGGCCTCTCATGGCATGAAACTCAATGTTTGGGACATTGGAGGACAGAGGAAGATCAGACCATTTTGGAAGAAGTATCTGGAAAACACAGACCTCTTGGTGAGCAACGTTGATTTAACTCAACCCATTCTTATGTTTCCAACACCAAACGGTTTGTACATAATTACTTACAAATAATTACTTACAAAGGATCATAATGTCCAAATGAAAAAGATCAGATTGCTTTATTCCTGTGCAATATTACGATTTATGGTAAAACTAGCAGTTTTGTAGATATTTAGCATGGAAGTGAAATCCACCAGCAGTTGGAGACTGAAATATTTCAACAATGAAGGCTGCATATGGCACATTCTAGCTTCTTCGAGACTGCATATTTTTGACAATAAAATTAATGGTGATACTATTAAAAGAAAAGACAACTTTTTATGTTTTCTTTTTTCAGATTTATGTTATTGACAGCGCAGACAAGAAGAGGTTTGAGGAGACGGGATTGGTAAGCTTGGAAATTCAGTTTGATTCCCGCCCCACAAAAAAAGAAGCATCACAATGTTTTAAGATATCATGTTTGATTGTTTATGTGTATTTAAAATTCCTTTCAAGCAGTTTCCACAAAGATAATAATCTTTTTTGCTTAGTGGGTTGCCCACTTTTTAATTGAAATCTTGAGAAACTTGAAATACAGGAAAGAATATGAACACAACAATAATATATGTATTGTCTTGTTTAATGTATGATGTCTTCTTAATTTATTGATGAGGATGATAAGGAATAAAAACAAAAAATCAAAGGCTTACTGTTAGAAAACTGCAACAAAACTGTTCATTGTCAGATCATGTTACTGCATTGAATGGCGACAGGTAGAAGATGCTGCTATCGTAATTACACTGACTGTTGGGTTGTTTTGAACTCTTAAAACTTACAATGACAGAACAATTTCAAAAAGCAATATTTCAGTAATTATCTGGCCACAAAACTATGTCATGTGTGATTATGTAAAATTAACTTGTCATTTTCATGTATACCCTGTTTTGTTTGCTGTCTTTTAATACAAATCCTGACTTATCCATAATTGAAAACTGTATATTTGTTCGGGTATTTTTTAATGTATTTTTCTAATTATTTATCAGTATGAAAGCTAACATAACTCTCATCCCTAACCAAAGACCTGAAGATAGTTATCTGTGTTTAATTTACCACTTTGGTATTGGTGATACACTTTGAAGTATTCTACATCAAACACTTTATTTTGATGGTCGAAATGACTCACAAAAGCTGTATGTGCAGGAGCTGTCTGAGCTGATCGATGAAGAAAATTTAAAGGGCGTTCCAGTGCTCATCTTCGCCAATAAGCAAGATCTGGCCACAGCGTCACCGGCTAGTGAGATTGCTGAGGGGCTCAACCTGCACACGTACCGGGACCGCGAGTGGCAAATTCAGGCATGCTCGGCTGTTTCTGGGGAGGGAGTGCAGGTAAGGATCAACATTTAGTTGCTCATTTAGCTATTTTGGTCACATTACAACCACAAACGTCTCTTATATCATCAGAATTTTATGGGACATAAAGTCCAAAACGTAAAGAAGTGAATATTTGTGAAGTGGAATTAAAATAGTTCATAGTTTTCATGATTGCTCACAAATTCAAATCAGGGTTAGGTTACAAATCAGTATCAGTTGCATTGAACATACTGCTGAGTTCCTTTCAACCTATCATATGAAAAAGTGAAGAATATCTGCAAAAGCACAAACACATGAAAAATCACCTAATCCCACAGAGAAGCATTTAGAGAACACTCAGTTGACTGTAAGTCATATATAGAAAATAAAGTGTTGTGCTCAGGTGAGACCGAAGCAGAACTTTTTTGACGTGGAGCATGGAGGAGGGTGCATCATAATGCGGGGATACTTCAGCAGAGGATTACATGGCAACTCTAGAAGAAATCCTGATACTGGAAAATGAAACGAAGCTTTCCCTTTTAGCAACAGTAATTTTAAACTTGGGATTAACGTATACTCATTACATCAAACTTTAAACCTCAGTGATAATTATGATTTCTGATTAGACATGAGACCTGTCCAGGGTGTACCCCGCCTCTCGCCCGGAAAGCAGCTGGAGATAGGCACCAGCACCTCCCGACCCCGTTAGGGAGAAGGGTGCTCAGAAAATGGATGGATGGATTAGACATGACAGCGACTTTCTGTCACATCTGACAGCAAATCTTAATTTGCAAAGCATAATGAGCAAAAAAATACATATCTTTCTATGTGCAAAGCTGGTTAACACTTTTCAAAAAGATGCTTAGCTCATCGCAGCAACAAATGGTTCTGCCAAGTATTGATTAAACAAGAATGAAATCAAATGTATACCACAGTTTTCAGATTTCTCTTTATAAAACAATTTTGTTTTGAAAATTTTTTTTTCTTCTACATCACAATTTTGAGCTACTTTCTACTGGGCAGTTATATAATATCCAGGCAAGATCTATCAAAATTTGCGGTTGCGATGCTGCAAAATGTATTAAAATTTAACTGGTATGACTACTTTTGGGAATAAAAAATCAGGACAACTCTGTTTAAACACTTGCATAAAAATAATTTGCACGCACAATTACTGTCTTCATTTTACCAACAGGACGGCATGAACTGGATTTGCAACAACATTGTGAACAAGAAGAAGTGAAGACCAATCCCAAAATAACACTGACCAGAATGAATCAGAGCATCAGCAACACAGAATGTGATTTGTATCTTTCACGTCATTTAATTATGATGCATTCAGCTGACTTCATAGATTGGAATAACTGTGTTTTTATGAATTTTTATTTTTATGAATGTTTTACAAAGGTAGTCAATATGAAGAAGTACCTAATTCTAATTAGTATCAGTATTTTAAGTATCAACATTGTTTTGAAATTAAACATTTTGGCTGTGTTCCTTTATGCTGCAGTGACCAAGGAAAGTGTGTAGCATTGCTGTAGCAGGTTGTGTGTGTGTGTAACGTGCACATTTTGACAATAAAATTAGTTAATTTCTGCTGTGTTGTGACTTGTTTTCAGATTAAATCTGTCCCTATGTAGTCAAAGTGTCTTTACATTTCACTTAGTACAAGATGTAGACAGGAGATACAATACAGTTAAAAACAACTATCATTGATGGACAGAACCTGCATTAATGTCACTGCACGTACTTCATTGTGAGACAATTACAAGCTAATCTGACAAGTGCTAACATTTTGCTGTGAGATGGAGACAAACTGAGCAACAAGACTTGCAGAAAAGACAGTTTAAAATTACACACTTGCATGGCACAGCAAACAAGATCTCAAATCTTAATGGCATAGCAGAGCAAACAGTGCAGGAAATTACACACAGAGCGAGACTGAGTACTTTCGGCATAGGCTATTTTCCATGAAACGTTTTATATGTTAATTTTGGAACTATTACGTTGCAGCACCATTTCTGTCTATCATCATTGGTTTTCACCGAGACAGTCTGCCACATGACAACTCTCACTTCTAGCTGGGAATGCCGTTTGTTCCTCAAGCAGAAATGCAAATCCTCAAACAAAATCTGAGCAACTGGGAGGGAGAAAACCTGTTTTCACGTTCTTTGTAAGATGGGGTCAGATCATTGATTTTTTTTTTTTTTTTTTTTTTTCAGAGCTCCGTCTTTGTTAGCTGTCTCTCCTGGGAGGATAGTTGTCAGAGACCCTCCAGGCATTATGGCCCACATACTCCTGTGATTATTCCTAATGTTGTGTTTTGTTTGGCAGACCTTAGTGTGTGCTAAATCCTTCATTCATGCTCCCTTTTTTGGCTCTTCCTAACTGCATTTGGATGTATTGGACCCTTTGTTTCTATTGTGTAAAGCTGCAATTAACCACCTGAAACCACTCTGAAATTAACAGCTAGCGGGGTCCATTCTGTGCTTTTACGCATTGAATTGTGCTAATGAATATTTTTATCATTTTTGTTGTCATTTTGTTGAATATTTTGATGTAGAGCTTTAGGTTTCTCAACAGACGTTCACAAAGTGAATGATTTTCTTCTTGCAGATTTTAATCTGAGGCAAGACTGAACATTGTCAGTCCTCAGTTGCCTCCGAGCAACTGAGGACTCAGCGGGGGGTGCCGCACCAATTACAAGTTGTGAAAAATGGATCATTATGGTAGTTGGAAGGAGGCAGACAGCAAAGGCACTGGGGGAGGGGCGGGAAGGTAAGCTGGCATTTTGCAATGTGCATTGAGATTTTTTATTTTTTTTAACTAACAGGTGGCTGCACCAAAGGGTTTGAATAATCTCTCAGCCACCAAGGAATCTGTTTGCGCTTATCCATTGGCCTTTCTGGTTCGGCAAAGCTTTAATTCCTGACAGTGTCAATAAATCATAGGCTTCACTGAGGGCCACATTGTTTTAGCTTTCACTTTGTTTGTGCTTTAACTATACTCCTCTTTCTTTTGTTTAAAAATTATATACATATATATAAAACTGTACATCATTAAAAACAACATGTTGAGGGGATGTGATGTCACTGTCATACGGGCGGCCCCTAAGTCTGCGTTGCCATGGCAGCCCTCCCATTATTCTTGGTCCTCCAGCCGCCTCTCATCTCTCCATTGATCTCCAGCCCTCCCTCTCGTTTTTTTTCCTTCATTTATGATACTTCCTGACCTGTGCTCACAAAAAGAAAATCTCGAATCCTGTAACGGAAAGACGGCAGTACAGCTTCTGAACTTAACAGGTAAGCACAAAAGACAAAGTCAGTGCAGTGTTTTATGCAATGAATAGAAAATGTTCTAAAATGAATGGTGTTACATGTTAAGCTTAACATAGTAAAACATGTCGAAGAGCTTAGGGGGGTGTAAAATTGTTTTATGCAGGTTATCAGCACTTTAACATGCTTCCCTTAATACAAAATTTAATGTTAATGGTGTTTTGCTTGGAGCTGCACATTCCTTGGGCTTCATTCTTTTCTGTGGTGTGTGAAGGATCGAGCAACTGAGCAAAAGCTACACAAGTGGCAACAAAAATGACTGCCCCCTTAGCTACCAGCTAGCAATGAAGCTCAGCTAGCTTTAACCAGAAGTTAGAAAAGTATCAGTTCAAAAAATTTTAATGAGTCATTTCTTCATACTGTTGTTTATAATTGTTTGTGTCAATCATTACTTGGATTATTGTTGTAGTAACTGTGACTACTACTTCCACTACAACTAGAGCAAATAATAGAATATACAATAAAAAGTATATACAATTCTGTACAACCAACTAAAGACTGCATTAAATTGTTTTGAAAGTGGGCTTTATTATTGCCAAATTAAATCAATACCCTTCTGTAGCAACCAGATTCTTTGTCCACTTTATTTAAAAGACCAGATTTTATTATTTGAAGTAGACAAAATAGACTCTTACTTCATCCAATCTTTCTTGATGTTTGTCTCTGAAAATATTGAAAGTTCTTCTTATGTTTCAGACTGCATTATTTTGCTTGTACAAAAACCGTCTGCAGCTGTGTGGGACTAAAGCACCACATAAAGAATGATAATCATTGGGTTTCAGTTTGATTAACACTATCCATAATTAAATTAGGTGCAATGCTGAATTAAATGTTTTTTTCCCAATAAATAATCTTCTTTTCCTCCTTTGTGAATGGAGTTTTTTTTAACTTCCTAAAAAGGTCAATAATTAATCTTCAGTTGAATTAACCTTATTGATAATCAATGTGATTGACTGGGTTTTGGACAGACAGTGAGACTGGTTGCTGTCTGGATATTAAAGAACCGGGTAGTTGCTACAGTCCACACTCCACTGAGTTACTCTCTAATGTGCCTGTTTGAAAGTGACTTCAGGTAATCAGGCCTTGATTCTGCACATGTGGTAAACTGAATTGTGTGTGTTTTCTTCCTTAAGGTATCATCTACAGTAAGCCTGCCCAGCCTACAAAGGACGCACCCTGTCTCATCATGTCATCTGTGGAACCGTGGTCTCCCAGTTTCAATGCTACCCCAACAGCGTTGAGCCTCATAACCACAACCACACTCCTCCCAGAGGAAAGGCACCACATGGAAATACAGACTATTGTGATTATTGTCATTTTCTGTGTTGTCTGTTTCCTTCTCCTGCTGGCCTTCTTTTATGCCTCCTGCTTCCACTGGTCCATCGGTTCATCTCAGAAGGAGACACGGTCGGCTAACGGATGCAGCCCAGAGCCAGAGGACACCACCTATAGGTGCAGCTCATTTGAAATCCAGTCAGTGCAAAATGTAGTCTGACTGATAAGAACAGTAAAAGTAATAACTATAGGCTTTCTTGTCATTTTGACTACAAGCTACACCAAAGAAAAACTTTGTGATAACTGAAAGGCACAGAGCTGAAAGAAAATCACACACAAAGAATTGTTGTGAAAATTTTCAAAAAAATTAACTTCACTTCGTCCCTGTGTAAATATACAACATTTATTTTATATTAATCTATAGCTGAATATAAAAATGCAAAATAAAAGATATAAATCATATGAAAATGTAACCATGACTGAATTATGTTGTTGTTGAGGATCAAGAAAAATAAATGCATCCATACAGAGATTCATTTCAGCCTCCAATATCCTCAGTGAAATGACAAATGATTTCCTCTTATGAGTGGATGAGCTTCTGAATGATACGGATATATGAAAGATAAGGAACAGAAATGAAGAGGAGCGATCCATAATGATGAAACGATAGCATCCACTGGGTGCAACAGAGCAAACAATAACATATTATTATTTGTGCTGTGCAGCTACATTACAGGGACATATAAGGAAAATGTAATAAATATTATCTAAAGGAAGAAATGTGTAAAACAAATCTGATTCCTGTATCTAGATACAACCCTTTAAGGAAAGAAATTATATGGGAATCAGCCCAAGTATCATAAAGGCCAGTGTTGCAGCAAACAGGTCAACAATTCTTTGAAAGTTCACATTGCTTTCATCACGGTTCTGCAAATTGCCATCATGCTGTCTGGTAGTTTTTCAGGTTAAGTTGTTTTTCCCCATATAAATTGAAGCCAATCACAGAACAGCTGCTCATAAATGGTTTGACCCATTTGACCAAACAATTTCCAAGGGTTGAGGCTGGGATCCAGGGTTGACCGTGACAAAGCTAAGAGCGCGCCATCAGTCTCTTTCTCTCAGGATGTGATGAGGGTTAAGTGGGTTTCTCCTGTCCTTGGTGATTGTTGAGGTCCATTTTAATCAAGCAAGGCATTTTTGAGAATTACTTCCTGAAGTTTTTTTTGTGACACTGCAGGACGTAAAACTTCGTCAATTTTGCTTGAAGTGATTCACCTACAACACATTCACTGTTCATTCCACATGCTATAGTTCGCACATTATAAAGTAATGATTTATCTGTTGAGTCTGATGTTAGACATCACCAACCCTTTCTGTTGGTGAGGAGGTCGTTTGATGTTCGGTTCAAAAAGTTACTTTTTTTTTTTTACCCCTCAAGTTGTAGTCCAATGCCCTGAAGCCCTGTTCTAGTTTTCAGCTGAGTCTCTCCAGGTCCCCTTGTGTGGACTTTTATCCAGGCCTCCTCCAGGCATATCTGCACTGCTTTTACAGAAACTATGTTAAGTCAAAGGTGATTTACTAATATAAACAGTCTGGAGGGGAACAATTTACCATCTATTACCCAGACTAGAGGAAGTTTGCCCTTTCTAGGACGTTTCTCTGGGCTTCACATCATACAACATCTTAAAGTGTGTATAAGGTGATCTAAGTGAAAAACAAAGTGCTGTGAAAAGTTATATGCCCTTTTACATATTTCAAAAAAACTTTATTTGACGGGGTGCGCATAAGACTGACATAAACATGACAACATCTGTCATGAACACAAATGAGTCTTTATGAATGCCTTTGACTGTCATGGAGTGTCATTTGGTAAATAGACAGTTTTATTGCAAAGTTGCCTTAAAAGTTGCATTAAAAGTCCATTAAAAGTGCCAACTTTGCATGATTTTGTAAATAACGGCAATTTAGTGCAAAGTTGGCACTTTT